GTCATCATAGACATTCTTTGAAGTTTAGAAATGCAATACATATGTTCTTCCCTGTTTGCAGAGCTTTGAAAAGAATAGGGAAGATAATCTCAACAGAAAACATGATTTGCAATTTTTCCCATCAGGTCTTCTCAGACATCTGTGCTTAAGGCTACTTTATAATTGTGAAGAGGCATGTAAAGTTTTAATCTTCTTACAGAGTGTCTATTGGCTGGCAGACTGTGAAGACATAATGGAATTCAGAATGAGGCTATATTTTGTTCCTGAATTCAGAGTGCCTGTTCTCTGATCATAGCTCTCAACCAAGGCTGAACAATACACTTTCATAATTTAGGGGAACTTCTTAGTTTAGAAAAGTACTGACAGTATACTAGTTTGAAAGATTAGGTGTGTGATATTAGGAAGAAGATCAAGAATTGTTCTGATGTCTACATAAAATAGCAAAAGGCATTCTTAAGAATTAATGGAGAATCTGCAGAGGAGATTGAAGCATTAATCTAATTTATCTTAATCAGTGAAAACTGAGATAAAAGAAGTTGGAAGATCAAAGAACTGGGAGAAGCTGTCTTTTTCCTCCATCAAAACACTCTCCACTCTGTCTTATCACTTCCTGTCTCTTTATCATCAGTCCTCCTATCTTCTATGGTTAACTAGTAGTTAGTTGTGGCCTCTGACTCTAAGCAAGCAGAACACAAACAAAATATCAACCAAAAGGGAAAGCATGTTAAATTTACAGAACAAGTTTATTTATCTTAGCCATTTTGTAGACACCACAAAGTTATTCAACATTATATTTCAGCCTTTTTATTTGCAAAATGAAACTGACTTTTTGAAAGGGTTACTTGAATGATGAATTCCTATATTTAAAATAAAATATGGCATAGCACTTGAGTTAATAAGTGCCCAGTAGATATTTGCGATGTCTTTTAACTACATTAGGAGGATCCATACTTTATTTGAAGTAGAGATTAACTATTAGAATTTGAATTATTAGTAAAATCAGTTCTATGAATGTTTTCATAGTTATGTATTGGAGAAGCCTTTGGATAGAAGTCTTTGGTTGCACTTATGAATACTAAAAAAGAAATCATGGACAGAGCCACAGAGTTAGAAGTAGTCATGTATATGCTGATTTATTTTAGGTCAGCTATCTCTGTGGTTTTCACCATAATGTTCTTTAACCCCTTTGTTCATACAATCTCTTCTCCCTCTCCAACTGAACTCCAGGATCACTGCATTTGCTTTTATCAGTTACTGTATATGAGTTCTATGATGATAATCTGGTAGTCACTAATCTAATTATAGAGGAAGACCTATTCAGAAACCCTCTCCACTATTGCTACCTGAAATCTTAGCTAGAATCATCCTTTCTCTGGCACCAAGTTTCTCATTAATCCCATATTGTCTTCCTCTAGCAAGATATCTCTTTCATTGGTCCACCCATCCATCTTTCCCCCAACTCTCTCTTCTTGATCGCTCATGCTTCTTTCCCCCATCCCCTTCATGTTACCCACCTCCCAGTTTAGACATGATTTTGGTCACTGTCAGGCCCAAGTTCAATATTGTAGTGGTTTTCTTGATTCAAACAAATTGTAATTGAGTGAAGCTATTTTTAACAAAAACACATATAATAAAAATATAGATAATGTTGGCAGTACTACAAATACTTTTAGAGACTCTTATAAAAGTATTGGAATGTCAGTGGGCTCTACCACATCTTAAAAACACAATGATTATTTTAAAAATCAAAATTTGAAAGGAAAGTATTTTTGGACACATGGTGTTGACACGGTTAATGAAGTTTTACAAAATCAGATAACATTAAGTTCCCAGGTTAAATTTATATATACTGTATACAAATTAAAAGTTCAGCAGCACATTTGAAAATTGAAGATCAGCATTACATTACTAATGTTAAAATTAAAAGGAGGAAAGACAAATTCATAACCAATTCCTGAAATGTGCATTAGTCAGTCCGTACATTTGTTGCCACTATAATACAATATCTCTTAAGACACATTTTAGAGAATGGGGTTCATAGTATCAACAATTCAAAGGCATTACCATGAGGTTTGTCTTCATTTTGTGGAGGACTTCATTATGGTATCATAGTGATGAGAGCCCATGTGAGTTAAAACAATCTATTAACCTGGCAGGAAGAGAAAGCTAACAGTTAGTTTCCTAATTCTTTTATTTATTATTATTATTATTATTATCATCATCATCATCATCATCAAAATCATCATCATTATTACTATTTATTATTATTATTATTGTTGTTGTTGTTGTTAATTTATTTTTACAGTCTGATCCCAGTTTTCCCTCCCTCATCTCTTACTCCTCCACTACCCCCTTGCCAACCGCTCATCCTTCTTTCTCTTAGGAAAGGACAGGCCTTCCATGTCTATCAAAAAGCCTTGGCAAATCAAGTTAAAGTGAGACTATTCACAGCTTCCCGAGGAAATGCCACTGTAGATGGTTTTAGTCCCACCAGAAATGGATGAGTCTTCCTTTATCCCCACATCCTCTCCATCATGAATTGTTATTTTAATAAGCTGATTTTGGCATTCTGACTGGGATAAGATGAAATATGAAAATTATTTTTATTTGTATTTTCCTGATGATTAAAGATGTTGAACATGTATTTAAATGTTTTTCACACATCTGTGTGTCATTTTCATGTACTTTCTGCTCAGTTATTTGTTTTCTTAATGTTCATGTTTTTGTTATGTATAGCATAGATATTAATCCATTTTGGATATATAATTGGTAAATAGTTTTTATGCATCATCCAATTTATCCAAATTATGGTGTCATTTGCCATAAGAAGCCTTTTTTTTTCAGTTTCATGAGGTTCAATTTATTTATTTGTTTTAAAGTCTTTAGTAAAACATTTTACTGATTTTTATTTTAAGACAAGATTCCTGGGCTATCTAAAATATTATCATTATGTAAAATATTTAACAAAGCATACTGAAAGTCAATTTATTTCTTGGTGCTTGTCAGGTAGTATTTTAAGGTACAACAGGATACTAATACAATGATATTCAGTATTTTCCCACAGACAGCAGTGTGGTGAGGGTCATAGGACTTTAACTGAATCATGGGTTCTGAGCATGAGTACCCATTTGGTATAAATACATGCTTATGTATGTTGCATCTGCCCAGGAAAAAAATTGTCTTGAAAACATGTGATGAAACAATTAACTGTTTCTGCAAACTTGTTGTATACCAGAAAACAATTAGAGATAAAGAATCTGCATCAACTAAAATAGGAGAGGTTATGCTGACTACTCTAGGTCCCTATCCCATAGAAGTACTTTGCTCTGTTAAAAGGTCTCAGCACAGACAGAATGTAGAGGATTTGGGCAGCTTGAGGAGGAGGCCGCTCTCTTCATTCCATTCAAGAGAAAATGAGAGCTAGATCTACAAAAAGTCAAATGAGGTCCAATTTATTAATTTTTGTTCCTAGAGCCTTTGTTACCAGTGTTATGTACAAAAAAACATTCTCCTGTGCCAATAAATTCAAGGCTATTTCCTCATTATTTTTCTTTGAGATTCAGTATATATTTTCTTGTGTTAATGTCATTGATCCATTTCGAGGTGTGTTTTGTTCTTTGTTTAGGGTGATTCAAATGTACCCAAGATGTACCAATCAGTTGGACCAGCTCCATTTGTTGAAGATGCTGACTTTGTGTGTGTGTGTGTGGGGGGGGTTCTGACTTTTTTGTCAAAACTTGTGTCATTTGGTGTATGCCTGTCCTATTCTCCAGTTTGCTTGTCAATTTGTTCTTCAGCATTCTGTGACCACAAATAAGTATTAATGTTCAATGAAAATATCATATTAAAAAGAACTGTGATTTTTTTTTCATAAAGTACTATGGTATAGAACTGTTAAACAGAGCAGTCCCTACGTTTTGTTGAAATAAAACAAAGTTATAAAAACCTAAGATTTTCATGCCAGTGGAATAGTCCCACAGAGACCTGTCCCTATGGGGGAGCTTGAAGGATTTCCCTCCCCTCTAGTCCATGAAGATAGTGGAGATCACAGGGAGCAGGTACAAGATATTGATTCATAGTTATCATGGAAGCAAGAAGGTGTGAGTATGAAGAGAGGTCAGAATGCCCACTAACAGGCATCTTATAGAGATCAGGCAGTCTGGCTTTAATACAGACTGCAGATTACAAGAGTTTTTTTGTCCAGACTGTAGAGCATTTTGTCCAAAGAACCAAAAAACAAATTAGTCAGTTTTCCCAATTGCGCACATTGATTTATAAGGAGCATATTTTCTAGTTTGCATCCTGTAGTACCAAGGCTAAAGCTTGAACTCAGTTGTGATAAAAAGAGATGACACTTTAATATGTTTCCCCAGGAATGGCTATGATTTTGTTCTTCAGAATACCAAATAGTATGGCTATTTTTTCAAATGGGCAGAAGATTACAATCTGTAAAATTAAATCCTCCTTGAAAGTTTAGGTTAGACTTCATGCTTAGCATGAGTGAGGATATGATTTAATCTCCATTGGTCCACAAACAAAACAAAAATAAAACAAAATATCATGTCTTGGGATATGCCTATAAATATTTTCACTGAGAACATACTGATTTGATATCTATTTTTTCTTGATACTTGTACTTCTAATTGTTATAAATATTTATGGATAATTATAAGACTAAAAATGTAATTAGCAATTTATTTTTAGATATACAAAAAGATCTTGATAGACTCTTATTCATCTAAAATTCAAAGTATAAAAATAAGTTATACTAGCATACTTAGTTAATTCGTGCATTTCAAATTAAAATGGGAAAATTATATTTATCAATGAAACATCACTTTTAAGGAAAGAATATATAAAAGACATATTAAGGTAAGTCAACATCTTTCAACTTTACATTGATAATTTAGACCCTTTAAAATGTTTAATATATTTATTTTTCTCTTGAATAGATATGGCTCCTCAGTTAGCCAACTCTGTGATTTATTTTATTTTTGTAGGACTTTGGCGATGATGGGTCCTTGTATATCACCAAGGTTACCACAGTACACATGGGCAATTATACCTGCTATGCAGATGGCTATGAACACGTGCATCAGACACACATCTTTCAAGTGAATGGTAAGAAGAATAGTGTTACTGTCACCATTTTTTGCTTTACTTATTAATGTCACAATTGAATGGATAGTGCTTTAATTTCAGCAAGGTTCTAATTTTAGTTTTTAATTTACTGTTAGTGTACCATCATTTATTTTTTTAAGTCCTCAAGTGAGTTAACATTAAAAAATATTAAAAATTTAGTCATTATAAACTGTTAAAAAGTAATATTTTAAAGCATGGGAAATTTAAGGTATTGGTTTAATTGAAAGCATCAATCATACATACACAGATTTTTAGAAACTAACAATTTTTGAAGATTGTCAATTTAGATTTTTAAATGAGGCCAGCTGTTTGATTACTCTTAACAATATAATAGAAAATTCCTACTTAACTTTGTGTAGTGGTATCACTTGTAATCCAAATATCTATGTTGCAGATGAAAGAAGATTAGAAGACCATCCTTAACTATAACTGAGATTAATCTGAGTTAAATGGGGCATTGCCTCAGTTTTTGTTTGTTTGTTTTTCTTTTGCGACAGTATTATTTATGTGAAGATGTTTTACATTGTGATACTTTATTCAACGGCTTGAGATGTTAATCAAGCAAATATATATAAACCATTTATTTAGCGTATACTTAACAGGAGTTGACATAGACTACTTTGTATGGTGTATTGTTAGTATTAAATTACATATTTTCTAATATGCATTGTTTATTTACTCTGTGATCTATAAAACCAAACAGAGGCTGCTTTGAGGGTCAGACAGTATGACTGGCATGCATGCCTTCATTCATAACAGAAAAATCAGCCTGTGTGTTTGGAGAACGAGCCTATCTACATTGGGTTTTTTCTCTAAGTATCCTGTAAAAAAGCATGAAAGTGTATTTTAGAGGATTCTCATATTTGAACTTGTTGTAAATAAAGGAATACTTAAAATATTGTAATCACTGGGAAATAAATACTTGTGCTCTGATGTACACTATAGGTAAGCAATAATTCAATAGGGGTTAGATTTGGAGAATGCTTAAAAGTAGACTTGCTACTGTCACTGGCAATCACATATAAGTGTGAGAGAAAGGAAGTATAGGTCTTAGAGCTGTGAAGGAGGAGTAGAAAAAGTGGGCAATGAAGAAACAAGCACACTGAAAGACTGGGTGAGATTTGCTTTTTAATGTTTTATTTTAGGCATAATTACTATTGCAAAAGTCAAGAGAAGACTGACAGCCATAGGTTTATATTTAGGTACTTCAGTTAAAGTTTTAATCAAATCAATCTCAACCTTGATTAGATTACCTTGAGATTAGATTGGCTGTGAAGTTATAGACCTGAGTCTCAAAGTAACATTCCAAGGAAGAAAAAGAAGCCAAGGAACAGAGTGTGAGGAATCCAATGTCAAGGAATATAGTTAGGAAAATGCTCTGAAATCCTTGAAAATGAGATGGGGTTTTAGCTCAGTTGGCACAGTACCTGTGTAACAAGAATGAAGTTATGAGTTCATTCCCTAGGACACAATGAAGTAATTGTGGTAGTGCCTGTCTGTGCAGAACTCAAGAGACGAAGACAGGGACATCTAATGTTCAATTCTTCCTCAGCTATATGGGTTTAGAAGTCATTATAAGACTCTTTTATTTTTATTTATTGTAATTTTTTTCTTATTTTACATATCGATCCCAGTTCCCTCTCCCTCCCTCCCCCACTCCCATGCTCCCCAGACATCCTCCCATCCCATCTGCCATACTCCACAGGGAGGGTGATGCCTTCCAGGAGGGATCAACAAAAATCTGTCAAGTCATTTGCAGTAGAGACCAGGCCCTCTCTCCTGCCTCTAGGTTAAGGGAGAATCCATCCATGGGCAATGTAAACCCAAAGTCCTTTTGTGCACAAGGGATACATCCTCACTACACTGTCAAAAGTCCCTTAGATTGTCCAGGCCATCTAACTGAGACCCAAGTTCAGGGGGTCTGAGTCTGTCCTATGCTGGTTTGCCAGCTATCAGTCTGAAGCTCCATTAGCTCCTCCTTGTTCAGTTCAGCTGTCTCTGTGGGTTTCTGTAGCCTGATCTTGTCCTCCCTCTCTGCATCTGGATTCCAGTTCAGCTCAGTGTATATCTGTGTGTGTCTGCTTCTGTTTCCATCAACTACTAGATGAGGGCTCTATGATGGTTGATAAGTTAGTCATCAATCCCATTATTAGGGAAGGACATTTATGGTAGCCTTTCTACTGTTGCTCAAAATTGTTAGTTGGGGTCAGTCTTGTAGTTCTCTGGACATTTCTCCAGATTCAGTATTTCTTCAAACCTATAATGGCTCCCTCTTTTATGTTATCTCAATCTCTCTTATTTTTTCTCTCATCTATTCCTCCCCTGACTCAATCTTCCTAATCCCACATGCTTTCCTCTCCTCCTACTATCTTTCTCCTAGCTCCCTCTCCACTCATTGCTCTACCCCACTTCCAATATGCTCAGGAGTTATTTTTCCTTTCCTCTTCTGTGAGGGACCTTGTATGAATCTTTTAGGTTCCTACTTGTATCCTAGTTTCTCTGGTGGTGTCAATTATAGGCTGGTGATCCTTTGCTCTAGGTCTAAAATCCATATATGAGTGAGGACATACCATGCTCCTCATTTTGTGACTGGGTTACTTCACTCAGGATGGTTTCTTCAAGTTCCATCCATTTGCCTGTGAATTTCAAGATTCCATTGTTTTTTTTCCGAAGAGGAGTATTCCATTGTGTAAATATGCCATATCTTCTTTATCCATTCTTGAGTTCAGAGACATCTAGGTTGCTTCCAGATTCTAATTATTACAAATAATGCTGCTATGAACAAAGTTGAACAGATGTGTTTGTTGCATGGATGAGGAACATTGGGATGTACGCCATTCTGGCAGCAGTAAGATGGTATCTCAGACTTGTTTTTATTTTCATTTCCCTGAGATCTAAGTGTGTTGAGCACTTTCTTAAGTGTCTTTAAGCCTTTTTCATTTCCTCTATTGAGAATTCTGTCTTCAGATATGTACCACACGTTTTTATAGGGTTATTTGGTGTCTTCCATTTCTTTAAGGGATTCTCTCATATAGTCTTTGAAGGCCTCTATCATATTTGTGAAATTATTTTTAAGTCTTTCTCTTCAGCTTTATCTGCTTTGGTGTGTTCAGGTCTAGTTGTGGTAGAGTCTCTAGATTTTGATGGAGTCATGCTTGTCTTTCCATCATTGAGTGTTTTCTTGTATTGCTGTCTTCCCATTACTTCTTCCAGTGATTGGAGGTAGAGTCTCTCTCTATTCCTCTCTCCCGGTGGGTGTAGATGGGTCAGGAGTTCAAATTCTGTAACTCTGGATGGTTCAAGATCTCTAGGTCTTTCCTCCAGTATAGGCCTGGAGATGGGGGTCAAAGGTCAGGCAGGCGGGAACTCAGGGTGGTCCCTCACAGATAGGCGGAGCTAGTGTTATCAGAGCAAATCCAGGGAATTCTCCAAAGCTGGAGTGGTTGTTGAACTCACACTCTGGCTCAGTGCTCAACCAGAGCAGTTGAGCAGGGTGTGGGGAGGGCAGGTTCTGGGTGGGGTGGTTTGTGGACCAGAGTACTAGGACTGTTCTATCTAGGGACAGGATATATGGGGGGAGCAGAATTTGGGGCTAACCCAGGGAGTTCTAGGGGAGGCTGTGGGTGAATTTGACCTGAACTGGTCCCAGACTCACCTCCAGCAGAGGCCTGATGATGGAGGTCAAAGCCATAGGACTCTTTTTTTTAAATACATGTAAAAAATAAAATAAACATTGAAAGCATGATGAATATGTCAATCCTTTACATGCTGGAATAGCAGTTCCAGAAGTGGTTTTTGGGGAAAACTAGACCTGGGCCTATTGTGAAGTTAGTTTCCAAGAGGAAGTGTGGAGAAAACACTTACGATGCACACTATTTGAGTTTAAGGTGGTTTGAACTGGAGCAATATCTGAGCTTCTCTTCCAGTTGAATCTATGCTATGACTGCTTACAGTCTGAAGATATTAGGCCTATTGTAACTGACAAAAGAATAACAATCTTCATTTCCTTTTCAGTAGTCTTTGACTTCAAACTAACTGACAAGTCCAACACCCTGGACTTTCTTACTCCTTTTATAATTAAAGCACAGATGTTCTACTACACTGTATTGCTGGCAAGCTGGCAATTAATTTTTGTTCCTTAAGATCACTTACTGTCAGACTCAGTCCTAATCTTTCAACCTAACCTCTTGTTCCTTTTTTAATGAGCCTTATTGTAACTGTGTTGAAGCTATATTTTAAAACCAGTTTCATCACTTCTTCTGCAGTTGGGTTCACAGTTGATATTTCTAGACAGGCTGGAGAATGTGCTGCAGGAAGCTTATGTCTTATGAGAAGTCAGGAGAATCACTTCATAGGTCCAGCTCCTTGCTCCCTTCTGAAGCATGTTTATTCCACAAGTCACTGACTCACTGAGCCCCAGCTGTGAAAGTCAGAGACCTCAGTCCAACTGTGGGTTTCTATATTGTAGGACTCATGCCCAATCACAGTGCAGATTTCCTGTTTTATTCTCTCCTGTGAATGAACTGTTGGATGTCAGGTTTTTCTCAAAGATGGAATATGATTGAAAGAAAAATAAACAAACCTCAGACATGGAGCCTCATCCATCATTTACCTTAACTATGTAAATTCATTACAACAATTTCAACATAGTTATCGGCTGTATAGAATTCTAATTGCTTTCACCTTTCCTAAGTATATTGATCCTCAAATCAGTATCAAATTAGAAATAAAACCAGCATTTCATCTATCCTATTTAATCCACTTTGAATTCTCCACGTTAAAGTTTTACTGAATAGATTAGGGTTAATTTAATCATAGTGTATAGGGATATAAAAACTCTATTACGCTCAAAGAAAAAGAAGAATGGTGATGTAACTTAAGTGCTAGATCTTATTACTAAAGTATAGATGTCAACCATTAAAATTTTGTATGTGTGTTTGTATGTATGCGTGTATATGTGTGTGAGTCAATCAGTATAC